AAACGATTCTCGATCCCCAAGGAAAAACGGCGATTCGGGGATGTCGATGAATAACCTACTATCTAGTGCTGACTCAACGTTAAGTGTTATTCAGAATCTGACACTATTATTACTACAGATCTATCTCGGTGGGCTGGCCGAGACGCGGGACGGTCCGATATCCGGTCGAGGTGGGTTTCGTGAGATTCTTGGTGCGCGACTATACCCGAGTCTGAAAGACACTCGCGGATCTAAAAATAAAATGACAGGAGAAGGGCGACCCACCAGTACTACGGATCGTCGGGACCGACGTCATGGTAACTACTAGACCTGCTGTGACGACGCCAGGCACCGATATCGTCAACTCAAACTGCAGTGTGCGTAGTAGTAAGTTGTGAGACAGTAGTAGAACGCACATGAGCACACGTACCATCTATGAATATAACTGAGAATGAACATACCGCATTGGCAACTAAAAATGCGCCAGTGGGTCATAGACAGTCGGTGGAGTGCCCTGCAGCCTGCTAGCATGATGATTTGAAGAGAAAGAAATGTGGCTGTGTCGCCGGCCTTCATCCATTCCGCGCATACGTTCTTATTTGTAGAATCAGTGCAATCGATGTGAATAGTCTGTGGATACTACTTCATAAAGGTCATCAAACTAAGACTTCAAAAATCAAAATCGGACATCACTGATCAACGTAGATCCAACGCTAATCACTACTTGCATAGACTAATGCATATTCTCAATATACACAACAAAACTATAGAACAGCTCATAAAGTATCAAGTGAGTCAAGGCACATAGATACCGCATAAACCTAAATAACAATAGAAATAAAAATACCAAACACAATCCAAATTGGCATATGACACCGAAAAGTCATCCAAGTCCAGTAGAAAGGAAAGATATTTCGCGTCATACAGAGGTCCATCACGTTAGTCCATGTAAACATCCTACCTCTTGTTCCGTTTGAAAGACCATCGTCACTGCTCGTTCGAACATCCACTAGTAGATCCTCGTATGTCCGTCCCTACGAAAACATTCGACAACGTCCACATCGAGCAAGAAGGAATCCTTCTCGACAGCCTCCAAACGAACGACACCCAACTGTCCATTACAAGTTCAGGTCATTCCAGGATGACGGCCTAGGGTCCGCATGGTGAGCCGCGTCGTAATAGGATCTAGCAGGAGCTTCAGCAGAGACAAGCAAGTTGATCGCGTTCATCGCCGCCATCGTCTCTTCCATTAACGCAAGGGGATCAGTGTGGATGCCCGGGACCTCGCCCATATCGACTCCGTCCAATGCTCCTCCTCTTATGGACAGAACATTTTCAAGACCTTCGTCGAGAGGACCGGCACTGGCAGCGGGGAATAGCTGTTTCGCCTTCGGGGGAGGAACATGGGTTGCCATGTTTGAAGCCCGTCCCGAAGGACTTCCAAAAAGATTCGTATCGAATAGTTTCGCAGTAGTGGACGTTGGAACAATACCACAGATATCAGGAGAAAGCACGATTCAGACACAGAATTGCGAGCAGGCTTACTATGATTTGGGAAGGGACAAACGAATAAACGATCGGGGAAAGTCGTTTTCGTATGCATTACATAAGACATGCCTGACGCGTCCAAACTTTTCTCGACGCGCTCTGCTTATCCAAGATTATCGGCAAAAGAGAGTCAGGAAAGTGTCGGCAGCTGTGTGCATACTCGAAGCGCCTACTCTCCTCTGTATACACGGTCCGAAGACATAAGCGCCCGAGTCACGAGGCGCCGCCAGAAACATGAATCCTGATTCCCTTCTCTTATCTTCACACACTTCTGCGACCAACGATGGAAACCGCCCAGCCGTGTAACATACTAACTGCCGACGCCCCCTTCAACGATCCCACTGACAGTGTTGATCTGGTGATCCGCACCGCCGACAACATTGACTTCTTCGTCCTCAGCGGACTGCTATCCCTAAAATCCCCATCTTCCTTTTTCCGTCACGTACTACTAGCAAACCAGCACACAGAGGAGAGAGAGGGCCTTCCTGTTCTCGAAGTCAAGGAGGATGGTGATACATTTCGGATTATCCTCCTGCTCTGCTACCCATACACCTCTCCCGAGATTAAGAGCATCAAGCAACTCGCAGAGGTGGGGACGGCGCTTAAAAAGTACTGCATGGATAATGCTTTGGAGCGCTTCGTTCAGACCGTACTCGCATCGTCTCTGATAAGAGAACAGCCAGTGCTGGTCTTTGTTCATGCGGTTGCCAATGGATGGAAAATATTGGGCGAAGCGGCGGCAAGACACAAGCTTGCCATCCCACTTGTCACCGAAGCCCCGTTCAAGGACTTGAAACGCATCGATGCCTTCCAATATACCTCTCTCCGATATTACCATATATTGTGTAATATCGCCGTTCAGGGCATGCCCGTCGCGTCGAGCCTGCCATGGTTGAAAGGGAGAGAGTCTGGACTCTTAGTTTTACACCCCGGAGTAACATGTCAATTATGCGGGTACCGTTTATTTCAGACCTGGCGTATAGGGGAGCAAAATTTTACGACGCATAGTTGGTTTGGTGAATATCTTGCCGCAGTAAAGGGGGACCTGTCTGGACGGCCCTTCCCAGAGCTTGCTCTAGGTAAAAATATCATTGCCCGAGCGGCTGCGAAGAGCATCTCAGAGTGTAACAGTACACAGTGGCCCTATCTTGTTGGTGATCAGATCTTTGCATTCGCGACGCTAGTAGCCGGAGAGATCGAGAGATTGATTGCGCAGGTGCGTCTGGACATCTTTGCATGGATTTTTATCGACCATCGTTGTACGTTGTATTAGGTGCCTCTGAACATTGATTGGACAAAGTGACAAGGGCGATGAAGGATGTTTTTGCGATGAGATTGAAGATGTAACATAATACTATCGTCGTATCGGATGACCGATGTTGTGTGTACTATAGGAAGTTGGATAACTCGCTCGAAACAAAGCATCAGGTGCATCCACGACGTTTGCTAAAGTCTAACCTTCCAACGTTGATAAGGCAAACGCAGTATTTAGGCCGAGCCGCCAGATACAACCCTATCCAGAACATCTCATTGGACTCCAAGCCTGTCTTGCCTCAAACAATGCCAGAAGAAAACCTTCATCGAAGCATCCTCGACACCCACCAAGCAAGCATCACCCCAACAAACCCAGAATCCAGAATCCATAGCTTACAGAACACACCAAACCCAGCAGCACCACTTTATTACGCTTACGCTTATGAATATCCACCAATAACGCCATCGTCCATATCGGCCCACGAAACATTCGCCACGTAGGAAATTCCTGATGTCATACACACCTTCCGCTCCACCGGAACCTAAACACGTTTCGAGAGATAACGCTAGCAGCACGTACTGGCATGACGTCTTATCAACCTCTCGAGGCTAAACTGCGATAATCCGATTGAGAAGCCGGGATCATGACTGTTCGAAGGACCAAGCAATCGTGGCTGTGTTGTGGGCTCGATCTCTGCCACCACCAGTGACTACTACGTACCTTCTGGAAACGCTAAAGTCTGCTCAGGATCGAACTGTGGCTTTGCAACTCCACTGTACAGTACACTCTCTAATCGATCTGTTCACGTTCACCGAACGGAGCCGGGCGGTATTTCTCAGTAGTAAGCCCAAAATTCTTCTCACTGCGAGATCCTTGGAAGTTATCTAATCACCATCCCCAGGGAAATGAAAGCGTCCATGACACCTTTGTGATTTCATCTCGATTTCGCCTTCTTGTTGTGGATTTTCCAGGCAATAGAGAATCGAGATGCATGATCGCGTCGGGGTGGTGTTTCACAAAAAAAATAATTGCTGATCGGGGTTAATATGAGGTGTGTCGGCCGATAATTGATTGATGATCGGACCGGTATCCGTTGGGTTTTACTCATGAGTAGGCTTGCGAGTTCGTCTATTGTGGATCGAGACTCTGATTGAATGTTCTCCCACCGAGCAGGATAGGAGCTTGGATCCTATGTGAGTAACCCGTACCAGATACGGCTTTTACTGCCAAGAGGTACCAGGCTCGATACACTGGGCACCCTATTTGGGACGGGACAACTCGGAGTCGGCAACCTAGAAGCCGAATCTTGGTAATTTTTCTTACAAAGGCTTAGGTACGCGTTCGCGTTATTTGGCAAACCCGTCTGTCCCAAATCCAACCTCCCTGGACCGGAGATCAGCCCTACATTTCCAATCTTTCTCTCCCTCTCTCGGATTTAGCCTTGGTATATTTCAACTCAATGAAATCTCAATTTAACGTACCACTCGCTCCACGTTCAAATTGGAAGGACCAGCAATGATAGGAAGTATATTAGCATCGCTCCACCGATATCGTAACTCGAAGGCAGCGCGGGGAGTCTTCGTATTATTATCGTATCAAAGCTAAAAGCGACGTGGGAGCACGAAAGGGTCGGTACCACGATTCCCTGGATGTGTTATTGCGCGACCCTGCGCCTCCATGCTTCGCTGGCCCTGGTTCCTTGGCCCACGGAATCCTCCATGCTTTCAGTTTCAGGTATCGACTGCGCCGCCTCACTGGTTGCCATCCCCTCTCCCAATAAGCGCACGGGCTCTCTTTCTTTGGCGATCCCGCCCCCGGAGGGATCGAACGTCCGAACACAGAGCATGTGCTCCCCATATATATGCGTATCCAGGATCCCATGAGAAGATGACTATCTTTACGCGTTGCCGAGGATATTTCTGACGTCGGTGGGCAGTATGTAGGCGATGTAAATTGTACGTGGAGAACATCCCGGAAGTGTGGCGTGTGTGGAGCAGAACCAATCTATATTCCACGCGCAATACAGTTTGCGACTGCCCACCTGCACCAAACGCCGACGACTGGCGGGAAGGAACCTGGGAAAGAACGCGCGGTGGCGCTTTTCTGACGTGAGGGCTTCTTGATTTAATGATTGTTCGGTTACTTGAGTGTTTTGGGAGGAGATAGCTTAGCTTGGGATTTGACCGGCGAGCCGAGGTGGTTAGGTGACAAGCGGTGTGGGGGCATAGCTCAGCTGGGAGAGCAACAGACTGAAGTCCTGCACTCTTTGGGTATCTTTGGCTTCTGGAGGTCCCCAGTTCGATCCTGGGTGCCCCCAATAGCTTGTCGCGGGATATTTCTCTTTTTAGTATATGTTCTTATCCATCCCGGGGGCCAGGCCCTGAAACCCGTATTCAGGTTGCCGGTAATCGTAGTTGGAAGCTGAACAAATAGGCTACTGCACTGTTAGGTTGGATCTCGCGTCAACTCGGGACCACAATGACGACAAAGGATTCGAGCCAACTTGTATAGCCTTCAAGTGCCTAGAAGGAGATCTCACGAATGACGCAAATATACAGGAGTCGTTAAGCGGAAGGGGAGATATTGATATGGCTCATCTTCAGAAATCTAGACAGAGGATCCAGAGCTGTATTTAGTGTAACTACGGACTCGGAAGGTACATGTATGTTCCGGGAATGTTGAATGCTATTAGTGAACGTGGGTTAAGACAGCATCCGCATCATAGGTCGAATAGGAGACGAATGTTAGGGCTCGTAGTAGCTAGAGTCAGGGCCGAGAGACAGATGACGATGGGACTGACCCATGACTTTGTACGCAGATAATGTTCAAACTCAGTGACTCAGATTCATGTATCGACCATTCGGAATATCGGAATAAAGTCAAGTGAACCATGTGCTATTCTGGTTGAAAGCCTATGCATCGGATAGAAAGATAAAGATACTTGTTCTTGGAAGAGTTCGTTCGTTCCTAAGCTGTTCCCAAGATGTGGTGATAACAATAGATGGTTCGACCGATTGTTTGGCTGTGGGAAGTTGGGCGGAGGGGTGATGTGCACGCGTCGCTAGGATAGCTGAGGAGAATAGACGTGAACGGTGGCGGTCCTCGTTCAAGTTTAGATAAAAAAGCGTCGTTAATACGAATCCGACTGGCAGTGCAAAAAAAATACGTGGACCAGAGGGAGTCTCACGCGAAGCCCGAGAGTTGGACGGCCAATCAATGGGGCGTGATATCAGCGCAGTGGAATACACACTGCATGCGAGAAGAAGATATAGGACGGTAACATGGCTCCACGTAATGGGATAAAGGGTCGTCAAGAGGCTAAGCCAGAATTCGTGACTTCGATGCATGCGAAAATGCTTGCATGTTCGTATGTTGCAGGTACGGAGTCTTCTTACGGGTAATAAGAGGAAAGGTTTATGGCGACTTGGAGTACGATCAGTGTCGGATAAACTGACGACGTCGATTGACGTAAGGACGAAGTGTTGCTAGGGGAGGATGGCGAGGGAGGATCCTATGTACGAGCTGGGAGCGTGAACCCGAAGTGGGAACAGAAGGATCAGCCGAGGGTACGAAGATTCGGAAGGGGTTGATTGCGGCTCGCAGGAAGATGTGATGAACAGGATTAACCAGCTTTGACGAACAAACGTGTCGCAGTGGTAGAATGGAGGCGGGGGGCTGGCGGGTTTTTGACATGTTTATATTTAACTGAAAAGCGAACAGTGGGACGTGTCCGACAAGCGCAGGTGAGGACCGTTGCAGTTCTGCGCCGCAGAGTCGGAATAGAGGCTACTTATAGCGAGGCATTGAGTAGACGAAGGTGGTTACTGAGGACGTATTATGAGACCTGATTGTGGCGACGGTGAAATCTGCGGTTGCGCAACTCATGAGCAGAAATTTAACGTGAATGTTGTGTGAGCGTACGCAAAACTGATGGGGCAAGACGATCAGATAAGAAGGCATAAAAAGTACCAAATGCGGATGTATACCTAGAGCGCGGCTGAAATTTTTGATGCTGTGCCGAAAGCCGACCAATGAGATCGAGGAAATGCCGGGAGATAAGACACGAGATGGGATCGGGCGACCATGCAGGATCGGAGATTGGAGAGTGGAGCCTTGAAAAGAAAAGAGACTGAATCAGAAAATGGCCGCATCCGCTGGTTGGCGATAACCACCACCCCGTATGCCCTACTCGCTGCCGTCCCCCAGCGCAGGCCGTCCTTCCCACCGCCGTTCCTACACCCACTCCTCCGGCGCCTTTGCGTCCCTCGGATCGCTGCCCCGGGTCCACCGCCCTGTCTTCCACATCCAGAACGACTGTTCTTCAGACGACGACGAGCATGGCCTGCTCAGCACACCGCCATTGCGGCTCGACACCCGTCTAGCCGTACCGTTCCCACGAAGCTCGCCTTCGCCCAGTCCGGAAGTTCCCAGCCGGCCGTCTCCCCCACAGCGCACCAACTCGACCCCCGTCCTGCTCTCCAATGGTCGCCCTCTCAAGTCCTCGCTCAAGGGCTCGTCGCGGTCGTCGTCGGTGCCAGACATGCCCTCGCTGTCTATCCAGCACACCCGTGCTCGCTCGGCCCCCTCTACGCCTTCTCACGAATCTCACTGCCACAAAAACGTCCATTTCCCCACCCACCAGCTCGAAACAGTTCGCGTCTTCAACAGGTCTGCGAAACCTGCGTCGCTGCTTCGGACGATACCCGCTTCGGACGCAGAGACCGAAACAGAAACAGAGGTCGAAGCCTCGTCTCGCTCGCGGTTCCCGTTCCCCTTGGTTCTACCGGTGTACTCCCTGTCGCCGTTTACGGACGTTGTTCCAAGCCCTGCAGTGCCAAGAGAGGGCATTAACGTGATACTCGAGTCCTTAACTCTTCCCCAGTCGACCCTGGCACTCAAGGGCACACTGCTAGTGCGCAATATCTCATATGAGAAGCAGGTCTACGTCAGGTTCACCCTCGACGATTGGCAGACGACGTCCGAGGTTGCTGCTCGCTATCAAACCTCGTTGCCCTCGTTACCCGTTTTGTCCAAGAAGAACCTCACTGTAGGCGATCTCGCAGCCGGTGTCGCTGCAGCAGGACCCGCCGTCTGGGATCGCTTTGAATACACAATCAAATTGGAAGACTACGCTTCGACCCTGATTGATCGTACCATCTTTCTCGTTGCACGCTATTCCGCAGGCGGAGGTGAGTGGTGGGACAATAATGCCGGGAAAAACTATCGTGTGGCCTTCATTCGGAGTCCCAACCGTGAGTTTATACTATTCATCCTGTTCCTGCTTCTTCATTGATTTCATCGACAGAAGCACCACCTTCAACGGTCGATAAAGCCCACGCACCAGTGACATCGATAAAACCTCCTTCCGAGAGTTCCGTCCCGTTCCCAACACTTGCCCTTTCCTCACCTTCGAGTCTACCGTCTTCTACTACCTCGACGCCTACCTTGTCACCCTCTTCACCTCCGTTGCCAACCACTTCAGTCCCTCCCCTTCAGCATAATCGGGCGCAATCAGAGGCGACGCTCCAGCATCGTCTTAAGGGCTTCAAGCTTGCCAACTACGCAAAGCCCAATGCTGTCCCTACCCAACTGAGCCCGAATACCGAGAAAGCAGAGGGTGCTGGTGTCTTCTGGTTTTGGGGCTCTCGCAAGCCGCAAACGGGTACGAGTTCGCCTGTACATTCTGACGGCGATGGGGATGTAACGCCTGCTCTATCGAGAGGCAGCAGCTCCCCGTTGGACTCTCCGATCGAGGAACGGGTCAACACATTAGAGGATGTGCCCGTGTACGTCGAGCCGGCAAGTCTTCCGGTCCCTTTCTCAATGCTCAACTCAGACGCCATCGAGCCTGAGCACAAGCCCAGGTCACGATCACCGTCACCGCCGGTTACCCCGACATCGCTGGCATTACCAGTCCATTCTCCCTCCCCCCCTCCCTCCCCCCCACCTATACCCACGTCGCGAGTGGGAAAAAAGCCACCGAGTCCCCCGTCGTCTTCGGAGGATCTGTACAAGGCATTCTTGAAGCAGTGGTGCTTCGTTGGCGCTGCTGGAGGTGCAGGCGAAACGATGATAGGCGCATAGAATGGTGAGCACCACCTGGCCACCCCAAGACCGATCGCCATACATGATACACGACGGTCCTCCATATATCAATATTATCTTTATTCATCTTTCCACTCAACGCTGGTTTGTACTACCTCATTATATCTTTTGTTAGACATTGTACCACCAACAGCACAGCACAACGCGGATGGACAGTTCTTGTGTTATTTTTCCCTCTTCCTCTTGTGTACCAATGCTTTTGTACTACCAGTTTCGTTACTCACTCATACTTACACACTCATACCCACTCACCCCCCACGAAAAGCATGTATCGTACGGACGCTACTATACGTGCACCCACCATCGCATATTATCATTACTTTTACCTACTTTGGGCCCTGATCATGAATAGAATGGCCTGTTTCTGTTTGGATGGATATACATATGGGGGGATTTTCACAGGTGGAACGGTGCCTGGTGCTGTCTCGACGGGTCTAGTAATGACATCGGTCCCGACGATCCGTAGGTAGGACGAGTGGGTCGTCAATTCTTCTCCTGTCATTTTCATTTCTGGATCTGTGAGTGTCCTGTGGACTCGGGTGTGTGGTGATCTCATGAAACCCACCTCGACCGGATATCGGACCCGGAGCCCACCGAGATAGATATGCACTAATTACTAATAATAGCGTCAGATTCTTGACGTTTGAGTCAGCACGATGTACGAGCAGGTTATACATCACACATCCCCGAATCGCCGTTTTTCCTTGGGGGTTCGGCTCATAGAGAGGCCACGGTGGCATATGTTTGGCGATCCACTGATGATGATGGAATCACGAACGTTCGATATGCTTTTCATTTCATGTATGAATCACCGGTGATTAGATAGCGGGTTGCGACTCGCGTAGTACGTGCCGACCCCCGAAGGGATATGATTGACAGCATTTACGTCGAGCAGTGGGAAGGGAGTCGATAAGTAGGCAGGCGCATGTGGGGATGGGGATGGGGAAGGATCGATAACGAGGTTTTACGGACACGTGTTTTGTTCGTGGCTCTTTCTTTTCTGGTGCCGCGAGATATCGATAAGGGATGAGGAGAACTTGGCGAAGCGAGGGTCCTGAAGGAATAAGTCGACATTACCGGAACACTTGTAACGACACAGCCACAATTCCTCCTTCCTTTGAACAACGATGACGCGGACACCGCCCGGCTTTGTGAGGAAGAACGCTTGCTAAGACGTCGGCTCAGTCACGGTGGTGCATACTTTAGGCGCTC